TATTCATTTGTGCTTCTCTTACACTTCAAGCAAATATGCATTTTATATAATTCCTCATATCATATTTCATGCATAAACAATTGATTCATTTCATACAAACTTAACCATGTTGGCTAATCACATGTTCAAATACCTTTTAAACATAATTATGAACACATATAACATTTATTTAGGTAATCTCATAATTAACCCAAAAGTTATAAGATATTAAGCCGTCCACTCACCTAAAATGAGCTTTAGCGCGTTCTACGCTCCTCGGTTGAACTTCGGCGAAACTCCGATGGAACTCCGGAGAACTCCGGCGAACTCTAGAAACACTTTAGTTATGCTCCTAACATAGTTTCATCATCACAAAACTCATATCAATATAAATAACCTCTAAAAGGTTATTTTCCGGCGAATCGGTCATTTTGGCTTCTAAGTCCGTTCTTGGACTTGGAACCACCTTCCAACCACTCATTCTTCATTTCTAAACATGTAGAACAAGACTAGGGGTTCTTTATATGATACATATCTCATATTATAGAAGAAAAATAAAGGAAAAGTTATAATAAGGTCATTACCTTAATTATTCACACTTTTCCCTCACTTTTTCCTTCTTAATCTTTCCCCTTGGAACAACCTTGCTTGGGCTTGATTTGCAGCAATGGAGGATGGACTTAGAGTTTCTTTTTCTCTCCTTCTTTTGGTCTTGGTCGAGCTTGATGGGGGGGAGTGATGAGAGTGGTTTTGTCTCATTGGACCAATGAGTGCGGATGGGAGGTCCACCTCATGTCCTTAGATGCCTTCTCAATCAAACCAACTTCTCCCATCCCCTTCCTCTAGTTTCATCCGCCCAATTCATTGATTCTTGTGACCAAAAATCGTGGGTTGGCCCCCACACATGTGGGAGGTCAATCCTTTAACTCCCGAGGTGTACAGTCGGTCCCGAAAGTTATATTTTTCGGACTATTTTAATTATATTTTATTTTATCGGGTCAAATAAAATATATTACGTGTTCCCAATCGTAATGGCCTCTTGAAATAACATATATTCCAAAACATTAATTTAGAAGTCTCCGAAATTCATTTTCGGGATGTTATCCGTTAAATTATCAGTACCGGTATTTGGGCCTCTTTTGCCCAATCGGTAAACTCTGGGCCTTTCCACGACCCAAATAAAATATTCAACACCATATAAATATTATCTTTACCAAGATGAATAAAATATGTGGTCTCGGAAATGTTGGATGGTCCCCATCCCCGATGTGGGTCCCACGTGCAATTTACTATTCACGCGAAAGAATTTACAACTTCATAAATTCATTGATCATTCCATAGTGTTTAATACATTATTTACTAAAAACTAAATATAATTTGGGTTGGTTTGGCTTGCCGAAACATCCGTAGCTGGCGGTGGTACCCCGGCCGGTGCGACTATCTAGGATATGTCATTTTGCCGTGCGGTGAATTCCGGGCGGTGAGCTCTTCAGAGAGCCGGATGTTGTATTTGTTGAAAATATGCCCTAGGACAATCATAGTTTATGATTTATGAATGGATATTTAATGGTCATTAATTAATAAAGTCACAAACTCATTTTATGTTAATTTTTAGTGTGAGTCTTCTTTATTAATATTTAGTCCCTGAGTATTGTGTTTAGTAGCTAATTAAGTACGTGACTTAATTGTGGAATGTTACACTTTCTAATAAGCATAATATTATAATTGTCCCTGGTCTAATATTATTAGTTTGGGACATTGATAATTAATAAACCAATATGTGGATTAATTGATAGCTATATTCCACTAGTCATTAAAAATTTACAACTTCATAAATTCATTGATCATTCCATAGTATTTAATACATTATTTACTAAAAAGTAAATATAATTTGGGGACGGTGTTACAGTCTACCTCTTGGCTGGGCTCATCGATCCCTAGTTTGGGATGGCGACCGCCGCTTTATGCAGCACGAGTGGCCCTTTAGTGCCATCGTGTATACCTCTCGGCTGGGCTCGTCGATCCTTAATCTGAGATGGTGACCGCCAATTTATGTAGCACGAGCGGCTCCTTAGCGTCGTCATGTCTAGTTCTCGGTCGGCCTCAGTGATCCTTGTTGTGGAATGGCTACCACCGTTTTTATACAGCACGATCGGCTCCTCAGCGCCGTCGTGACTACTCTTGGCTGGGCTCGTTCATCCCTAGTCTGGGATGGTGACCGCCGCTTTATGCAGCATGATCGGCCCCTCAGCGTCGTCGTGTCTAATTCACGGGCGGGCTCGTCGATCCCTAATCTGGGATGGCGACCGCAACTTTATGCAGCACGAAAGGCCCCTCAGCGCCGTTGTGCCCAGTGCGGGGACTGCACCTCACCTATCACTTATGCATGACTTGCGCCCAAAAGTATACTTTCTCGAGTAGATTCACATGATCACTACTCAAGAAACTGGAGGGTTTGTGTTGAGGTATATTATCCTGACCCATTACTGTCCAGGTCCCAATACATTACCTCAGTACGGTGCCTGATCAGTTAGGCCCCGTTTAGGCCCGGTTCGGCCCATTAAGGCCTTTTCAGCCCGTTAGGAAAGAAGTGCCCCTCCTTCTATAAATAGGAAACTTTGTTTCCTATTTTTGGGGGGGCTTCCCTACTTCTTCCTGCTAGAGAGTAGTTGGTTATATAAGCTTACAACCTCCATTAATTGAGGTTTGATATTTGTACTATGTAAATGGTGAGAAGAGTATTAATGAGAAAGAGAGGGCTTGGACATTAGTCTAAAAAGTCTCGTGGTTTTCTCCCTTTCGGGTTTCCACGTAAAAACAACGCATTTCATACATATTCATATTTCTATTACTGTTTTATGTTGGATTAAACTCTACATATAAATGTGCGTGTGTGTGTTTTCTATCGTAGAGTAGTTTTAGTACTTTTTCTATTTTTGATTATTAGTTAAGTAATGGAAGCTTCTATGTTGCTAGAGAAGTCTACATCTTTGTGAGATTAGCAAATTGTTATGTTGCTTTGAAACTTTCAGTTGTATGTCTCATCGCATTGTAGCCTTAGGTTATCCAGATTGTTTTTATACTAATCATTTTAAAATTAATAAATACGTGTTTTTCTTTAAAAAACTTGCTTTAACCGGATTTTCTCCCAGTGTAGTTATCAAACATTATATAAATAAACCTTAGCCACCGAACAATTTATAGTTTACCCCCTTTTCTTCATCATCTTCCCCTCACCTTTGCAGTTAGTATGATACAATAATTATTGAATAACGACTTACTACTTATTAGGGAATCATTGGGATCTTATTTATAATAAAACTCAATTTGGGAAGTTACAAGTAAATGCTCTATATATAAACCATCACACTCCTCAATCTGTGCAAGGAAAATCACATGTAGATTAGAAGTTAAAAATTGAAAACGCCGATTGGATACAATTTTAATAAAGATAATAGCTATTTGAAACTGAGTATGAATATATTTTACAAGATATGTGTGGGCAACTCTCTCAAGTACGACATGAAGGATAACCGTTCAAACTTCCAGAAACAAGACCAATATTACTAGCCATTCTTGGTATACTAGAAGTATGATGTCCGAATGAATGTTGCATTGGAGGAGTATGTCAAGGTGTAGACTACCGGTGAGGTGAATGACCACCACAACCAATTGAAGAACCTCAAGTAACATCGCATCCAAAACCCCTTTCACGACCTCCTTAATAACCATGACTGCCAGGACCACCGTACCTCCTCGATTTGAGCTACGGCCAAAAGTCAATGAGCAAACTAAAACCTGGCTTGCTACAAATGCTAGATGTCTTGAGGAAGCTTCATGGTTCCAGAAAAAAAAGAACAAAGAATACATTGTTCTTGTGCCAAGAGTCTCTGACGAAGGTAATCAAAGGTGAAATTCACCGGGAAGAGGGAAATTGTAGTGATGAGGGGCTCGTATTCCATGTTGAGGCTAAAATTGTGCATTGAATTTAATCATGCTCACCGATCAGAGAGTTATTAGCCCCTAAAGCATTTGCCATAATTTGAATTTCACGATCCATTGTCTGTGATTCCTTCTTCTTAACACGAGGTAAGAGGTGTTTAAGTCCCATGGGTTGGGCAAGACTGGGAGACATGAACTGGTTTTGAAGTCGGTCTCAAAACAGAGCAAAGAACTTGAGATCATGGCCCTCAACCAAAATGTCTCGTTAAAGGGTAGCAAACAACCATGATCAAATGGTTTGATCTATCCTGAAAAATTGATGATATTTCGGGGTTAGGAACTTCTTGACAAGCAGAATCATTTATGGTGGGGGATGGGACATCAATAAAGAATTCATAATATTAAAAAACCTCGAAGAACATCTCCTCGACCGAAGACCAACGATGCTCCAGACGATGCAATCTTCAATTGGGTTAGATGCCCATCGAATTTTCAATTTAGGGTTATGTATAAAAGAGGGAGGATGCATGGGAGCTTGCTGACTGAACCTCCACCGTGTACGAAACAAACAAGTATTAACTGACACATTGGTTTTTTAAACGGGACGTTCGCACAAGTATTCCTTTAGCACTGATTAGCCGATTACATGTACCACTGTGTTTAAATTGCAAGATGAAGAACTGACTCTTTACTCCACACAGTGAAAGTTACCGTACTAAACTGACCGTTTTCTCAAAATCAAATTGATGACTTCAAATGTAGTGTTGGGCCATGTTAGACAAGCCTGTTCGCATCATGGCCACCTTTTTCTTTTGGCAACTGAACCCAGATCTTCGGTTTCAAGACGTCAAATACCCACCGAGCTTCGTCTTCGTCTTCTACCGATTATGGCATACGATCTGCGTCATCGACAGAATATAGAGGCGGCGTTTCGCACACACTTTTCAAAATGGACAGCAGATCATGTGAATGTCATGGCACTGAAGTGAAAACATTTCCACATACATTTCTCTTTCTTGGGCATTCAATTAATTAATTAATAATTTCCCACTTTTCGAAAGTGGGAGTAAGGAGGTTAGGTTTTTTCTAAAAGAATAGAATTGATAAGACAAGAGAATTGTGAGAAAAAGATTAGATAATATTTGGGGCAGACTATATATATATATGGTGTGCGGGGTGTAGCAAATTATTAATTACTCCGTAATTAATTGAATGCCCTAGAGAAATTTAGGCGGAAATGTTTCCACTTCGGTGCGGCGGCAACCCCAGGCAGCTGCTCTCTTTGGCTCTCAGTCGAACACTGACTCTGCCTCTGCAACGATTGTCCTCTACGCTGACACGTAAAGCTTCCACCGATGTATAATATCTGTGAATTTCCGAAAACGTTTAACACTCCATTGAAATGTTTGAATTTCAGGCGTTACGGGGGAAGAGAAATATAGGGATACGACTCATAGAAAGGACACATTTGTTCACCCATCTGCGATTGTCCACCCCAGTGCCATCCTTGGAGAGGTACAACTCCTGGTTTTATCTACGGAGTATTAGATAACTGCGTTCCAGATGCAGTCCATCTTTTGTAACAGCTTCTTAGCTTGGCATTATTCATTCATTTTGTTGCGAAGGACTCCATCTTTAGAATAGCTTAGCATTTATGGTCATTTAAGTTTTTCTATCTGTGTGATTGATTTATTCCTTATTTGTGTTCTTATCCATGGATATTATCATATCAAACTCTGGTTTTCAATTATTAAAATCAGAATCGAATTATTAAATTATCACTTTTAGTCATAAGTGATGAATATTGTTATGAAATATTACTGTCGATCAAAACTGATGCCTTTCTGATTCACAAGGTACACATATGTAACTAATCACATAGATAACATAATATTACATACTCCATCCATCCCTTAAAATTTTACTTTTTTGGATGTCCCACTAACTTTGCCACTTTCCCTTTCAAGTAAAGAATTTGTGGTTCCAGTTAATTCTCTCTCATCTGCACAAACCTCAACCCAATAGTTTTTACTTTAATCATCCCCGTGCCGGTCAAACTTGGTAGAGTTTTAAGGGACAAAGGTAGTATAACACAGCCCATAACCCACGCTATTACCCCCTCAAGTTGGTGCATGCACACGCCAAATGCCCAAACTTGGATAAAAAATAGTCAAATAGATGCTTTGGAAAAACTTTGGTCAAAATAATCGCCAATTGAAGATGTGCAGGAATGTGAACGGTGCGAATGAGGCCTTTAAGAACCTCGTCGCATACCAAGTAACAATTGACTTCAATGTGTTTAGTACGTTATGAAAAACGGGATTGTCAGCGATGTGTATGACAACTTTGCTATCACTATAGAAAGTCATTGGAGAGGTTCTGGAGAGCCATTTAAGTTCGCAAGTCAAACTTGCAAGAGACCGGTACTCAGCCTTTGGTGAAGACCGAGAAACAGTGGATTGCTTCTTAGTATTCCAAGAAATCAAAGATAATCTCAGTTGCACAAACCAACCGGCGAGAGAGCGTCGTGTAAGCAGGCATGCTGCCCAGTCAGAATCACACCAACCAGAGAGAGATAGATCACTATCATCGCGTAACAAAATTCTCCGACTTGGATTGCCCTTAAGATAACGAACACCAGCAAGAGCAGCGTCCCAATGCGGTTTCTGTGGAGCCTGCATAAATTTTGAAAGCATATGGACAACATAAGACAGTTCTAGATGTGTCACAGATAAGTAAACCAAGCGACCAACAAGACGACGAAATGGTTCAGGATCAGCAAGGGGCAGTTCGGTGGCCGCAGGTAGATGATGGTTGGGTGGAATTGGAACCCCGAGGGGCTTAACACCAAGATAACTGACTTCAGTAATAATATCAAGTATGTACTTGCGTTGACATACATAGATACATGATGAACCTCGAGCCATCTCTATTCCAAGAAAATATTTTAGAAGACCCAAATCTCTCATATGAAAGCAGCGTTGTAAGTAACCCTTAAATTGATGAATATGTAGACTCATGCCCTGACAAGTCTTAGAAAAAAAGAATAGTCAGATGATGATTGAGTAAATCCATACCGTTTCAAAGTAGCAGAAAGTTTAGCAAATCAACACCACGGGGCCTATTTTAACCTGTAAAGAGATTTTCGAAGTTTACAAACTTTGTCGAGGTGAGTGTCGCCAAACCCCGGTGGCAATTGCATATACACTTCCTCACTCAAGTCTCCGTGTAAAAAAAGCATTATGGATTGTACATATGATGTTGCACTAACAGCAAGAAAAACACGGACTCTAGTTAGCTTGGCAACCGAAGCAAAGGTGTCTGTGTAATCAATGCCTTCCACTTGCTTATTCCCAAAATCAACAAGGTGTGCCTTGTATCGCTTGACACTTTTGCAATCAAGAGGAATTTTATCAGAAAAAGGATCCATTGTGGTCCATGTGTGGTTGGACTCAAGGGTTGTGATTTCTCGCTGTATGGCCTCTCGCTAGCATGAGTCTTGCATGGCTTGGCTAAATGAGGATGGCTCACTGAAGGCCACGACAGCAGCCAAGAAATGCCTATAACCTGAGCATGTATCATAGCCAACAAAATTTTGAATGGGATATTTACAAGTACCTGAAGAGTGAGAAATAGTATGGGTAATGTATCCTGGAGATGAGTGGACACTTACTTAATCTGACGTCCTCGGCCAAGTTATTCACCTGGGTCAACCAGTGCTTCCACGTTGGGAGAAGTATAATCAGGGTCCAGTATGCTAGGAGAGGAGGAAGTGTCAGAGAAATGTTAAGATTCTCCCCGGATGAGGATGGGGGAGAGAGTGAAGTCGGCAAGCTGTGGCTCAACGCCAGCAGCAGGAGAAGCCTTTTCCTCACGAGAAGGCCAAGGTGGATCCTGAACCGTGTGTGGAGGAGAGACCTCAATGGTGCTTTCCTGTGAATAAGGAAAAATAGTCTCACAGAAGACAATTGATGCATTCTACGGAAAGACCTATCAACGTCGCAACATCAGTGGCAGATCCTTAGCTGATTAAGCAGTTCATTATGGAATGATAATAATTTCCTTTGCAGCAGATTCCTGATTTATTGTTTGATTGCTTTCCTTCATTAGACTAGTTAATTACTTTCCTTTTTTTAAGTTGATGTGCAGCTTTATTGCTTTCCATCATTAGATAAGTCTATTTTAAGAATTGATTTAATGTAATTCTCTCCTTCCTTAACTGGTTCTTTTAACTCTTACTATAAGTAGGGACTCTTGCTTTGAATAATAAACAAGCCAGAATTAAGACTTATCAAGGAGAAAGGAATTCCATAAAATTTCTGAAGTTTTTTATCCCCTTCATTGCCTTCCGTTATTTTCCGTTATTACCAGCAAAAATAGAGGGATCCCATCTCCCTGCCCTCAGCCCCTCACCAACTGCCGGTTGACGCGAGCTCTAGACCGGGAACATAACATTTTGGTTCCGTTGTCGGGCGTCGACGTGGCAGAATTAATGAAACTCCAGGAGGATCTCACCGCCACAATGCAAAAGATTGACGCCCTTACTGTCACTATGAATTCCATGACCGATGTTGTGAAGAACTTTGGTAGCCTTGCCAAAGTAATGGAAACTTTCATGGAGAAAAATATTAACTCTACTGCTCAGGTAACCCCTTCCACACCACACACAATACCCGTCTCTTCCACCACCGCCCAGTCTGAAATTAACCCTCTGACCTGTTACACCTGTTACACCAAACTGGAGTTTTCTACTTTTACGGGCGCAGAAGATCCACTCGTTTGGCTGCATCGTTGTGAATGTTTTTTAGAAACCTCTTCATTTTGATTCTGAGAAAGTTCACACTGCTTAATAATACATGACTGAGATCGCTCAGTTGTGGTTTACCAAACGCCTACAAGATGGTGAACAATTCTCCTGGCTCCAATTCAAGAAGGCTTGCATCCTTCGCTTTGGACCCCCGCCAAGTATTAATCCCCTGAGGGAACTTGCAAACCTCAAACAGCGGTTCAAACCTATCGATGATTATATTGCAGACTTCCAAACACTTCTTTCTCGTACTGATGATGTCCTCTATCACCAACAAGTTCCCCTCTTCATTGCTGGCCTAGATGAAGCACTTCGTATTGATGTTGAATGAATGAGATCAGATTCGTTGGATGGGGCCATCAATGTTGCTTGAGATTATGCCCGCAAAGGCCAACTGTTGCGCACTTTTGCAATCAATCGACAGGCTCGTACATCTCCCAGGATCTGCAATCACCATCCAACAGCCCAACCAGTCTTGCCCTGTCCGCATCAAGAGACTGTCATCATCGGAGATGCTAGAGCGCCAAAAGTTGGGGCTTTGTTACAATTGTGATGACAAATGGATCAAAGGCCATCACTGTAAACACCAATTGTATATGTTAGGTGTTCTTGATGATGAGGCATTTGGGGAAGATGACGTGGGCGGTGACAGAGAGCCGGAAATTTCCTTGATGAAATTTTGCTTAATTATAACGGGCAGCCCGATAATTGCTTTAATCGACACCGGCAGCACTGGTAACTTTATCAATAGAGCCACCGCACAAAGTCTTCAACTGCCTATCACTTCAAAAATAGGCCTCCAAGTTGCAGTTGCCAACGAGGAACACGTGCCTAGCTCCGGTTTTTGCCACCAAGTCCTCTTACAGTATGAGAAATTATCTTTTCTCACCACCTTGTTCGTCATTCCCCCGGTAGGTGTCAAACTTGTCTTGGGCGTTAAATGGCTTCATACATTGGGCCCCATTTGGTGGAACTTTGAGACGCTGCAAATGTCTTTTATGTGGAAGGGTGAAAGAGTTGCCTTATCTGCAGAGACTGCTGCACTAGATTCACTACTCTGTTCATTTGAAACTATTTTCTCGACACAAGTGGCACTACCTCCTCAACGTCATTGTGATCATCACATTGTGCTCTCAGTTGATACAGATCCTGTGGTGGTTCGTCCCTATCGATACCCTCAATTGCAGAAGGATGAAATTGAACGACAATGCACCAAAATGCTTCAGTCAGGTATAATTCGTCACAACACATCACCTTTTTCTTCCCCAGTCTTACCGGTACACAAACAAGATTCCTCTTCGCGATTTTGTGTGGATTATCGCGAACTGAATGCGCGGACAATCAAAGATAAGTTCACGATCCCGATAATTGATGAGCTCTTGGACGAATTACACGGTGCCAAAATATTCACTACTCGATTTAAGATCTGGCTACCATAAGATTCTTATGCATATAGTTGACATTGAAAAGACCGCATTCTGAACCCATCATGGGCATTTTGAATTTCTAGTGATGTCCTTTGGCCTCTGCCATGCACCATCCACGTTCCAAGCTCTCATGAATGAGGTATTTGGTCCTTATTTCCGAAAATTTGTGCTCGTATTTTTTGATGACATTTAATCTATTGTACTACTTAGGTTGACCATCTACATCATCTGAAAGTGGTCTTTCACCTCTTACAAACAAATTTTCTATACCTCAAAAGATC